AACAATATAGAGCCCCTGTATTTTTTAAATTTTCGACTCCTAGCTGATCATGGTCGTGAGCTATTAATTAATTATTATTAATGGCATTTTCATTAATTAACTCATATCTCCGTCAAAAAGGCGCATGGGCCCAAACCAATTTGGGGTTTTTCACTGCTGACTATTCCCTACATGATGAAAATAGTCTGAGTCGAAAAGCTTTTAATCACCTCGAGAGGTTTCCTCGTAAGTATAGGTACGAACAGGAAACAAAACTCATCTCTCACCAATAAGCGTATAACACGAGAAAGTTTTCAATTTATACAGTATGAGGAACCAAATAAATGTTGTAAATCGTAGTACTGAAGGGTTTTGAGCCTTGCTCTTTCCAATTGCTAACTCGAAATGATTTGAATAGTGCTGAAAGTAGGGTTTCCAGGGAATCAAGTCACGCACCACTTTGCAGAAAATAATATTTTTAAAAGAAACACTTGTCGCTAAAAATATTGCAAATCAGGTGTTTTATTTAGGATTGAATGCGCTCCATTTTAAAAAAAAGGTTTAAGACTAGCATGTATCAGATACCGGCGTCACCGAATACCTCGAAAGCAACTTTCACATTTACACTATTTCGTAGCTGCAAGGTTTCTCGGTAATGAAACATCACAGAGCGCTCGAAGGTCTTAGACTGAAGCTGAAACGTGTGGCTAGAAGTTAATAGAGCCCAGTTTTTGATATTTAGTCTAGATTTGTGGTTAGAAACCACGCGCGATGAAACCAAACTTTCACAAGATCAAGATCTCCTTAAAGTTTGGTCAAGATCAGACTTATAGTTTCAGAAAGAGGTTTCTGAAAGGAGGATCTTCACTCTCCAGCTCATAATCTGAAATTTTATTTAAATTTTAAAACTTGAACTCTCGACTTTTTTAATACTGCGCTCCCCGCGTTCACAAGCGGGAACATTTTTGAAACATTTTTTAGTACATGCTTAAATAGAGCGCAAAAATCTGGACAGTTGGTAACTTCCAGACCTTGGATAAAACGGTTTTCTAGTAGGTTTTCAAAAACTCACATGCTAAAACTTATATTTCACCTTTTTCAGCCTTTTTAACAAAAAAGCACGTAATGAAATTTTAAGATGTGGTTATCGATAGAGCTTGAAGTGCTCAACAAAACTCAATGATTTTGAATATCTAAAAAAGGATTCTGAGCGGATTTTATAGTTTTTTCGAAAAAATTTTAGATAAATTTTAGCTTATTTTTCATTACAATTGATATTTCCGATATCTTATCTAGTTTTTGTCGCGTGGGATGCATAGAATCGACTTCGCCCTGTTTTTTCAAAGATTTAAGGTTTTTCACTGGCTGTTGATGTTGTACTAGAATACCGTAGTGCTTTTCCGTTCTGCGATGTGGTATTTCATAGTTATACGCACTTTTTCTCCTTAAGTCTTTGATACTGGTCTTCAATAACTTTGTGGAGCCATCAGCATCGATAACAATCCGAAGAATATTGAAGAAAATTGAAATGTGTAGTAGAGTTATAGACATTGATTTAAACATTGTGAAACATTGGAGACTTTTCGTGAAACACTTTTAACATCATCAATAAAAATGTACAATAAGCAAAACTAGTTTAAACTATCTATAGTAGATATAAAACAACGTGTGACAGAACACAAAAAGTAAAATAAATTTATTTTACTAAATTTTCAACTTTCCTTTCTGCCCCGAAAGTGTGTGTCTGTTAATGTTAATCAAAACACATTCAAAATAAAGCTCTTCTGTGAATAAACGTCTTTGCCTTTTTTTATACGAACAAGCCGATGAGTAGACTTTCTTTTATTGTTCTTTTTATATAATTTGATTCAACAGCAATATTAATATCAGTTGTTTTAGTGAAATAAATTTATTTTACTTTTTGCGTTCTGTCACACTGAAAAGTGTTTCACGAGAAGTCTACAATAAATAATGTTTGAATCGGTGTCTATTCTTTATAAAATGTATTCACCGTATTATCAAAAAACGAAACGATTAAACTGAAATGTATTTACTGCCATCAGTTATTGAACTACGCAGATCATTATGTAAACCAAAACCGATGACTGAGTCTCTCGAACATTTACCTTAATCAGCGGTTACTCACTATCTTTGTACAAGTAGTACAACACCTCTCATTGAATTGTAACCGGTTCGTCAGTCTTGTAGGCAACCACCAAAATCTTCACGATGAACTCGAAAGCCTGGTCAATACAATCGGTCATCAGGAGGAAATAAAGATGACCAGGGTTGACAGGCCATTGGCTGATGGTTTTCCCTGGAACAGCTGTTCGGATTCTTTCATCGGCTGATATGTTCGGATATATTTTGTCGCTAACCTAGGTTGTAAATCAAAGTTTCTGGCGAACGTTGTTCACCTACTGTCTAAAAGGAAATAATCGATTAACTTTTGATTTTCACGCCGTTTCATGTATAAAACCGCTGAATTTCATGTATAAAATAGTCGATAGTCAGAGACACTGTCCAATCGCTGGTGATCCTATCAAAGAACGGTGAGTACTAATTGTATGCAGATAAAAAATTGCGGCAATAATTTGTGAATGACATTCATAGACTCATCATTAATGTTATTAAATTAGCGATTCTGACTTGGGGGAGAGAGGAACGAAACAGTCCTTGCTGAAAAAACTTACTCATTTCCGGTAGCTTCCAAGCATAAAACGGGTCGCTTACTCAACTTTCGTATCGAAAACAGTGTATTAGATTATAATTGTGAATACCAATCTTTATTGGTATGATAATGGCAGAAATCTTATACCTAAATTGTTCCCCAGGATGATACAGATGAATATTTGATATTTAATGTTTTAGAACCGACATTGGCCAAAAATGTTAATTAATAGGGAGCCTTGAATAATCGAGATACACAGAATATTCGTCACAATTTGATCGGTTTAAAGATATCGTTGATAACTCACCAATGCAGAACCATTTGTTTTGATAATAACATTTCTCACGAAATCTAGAAAACAGCGAGCGGCACACGTAAGTAATTTAAATATGATACCTGTATTATTGGGTGTGTATGTGTGCAAAATTGAATTTGTCATCGCAGTTGTACACGGACTCTTTAAAAAGTAGATATAGAATTATCTTTCATTCAGATGGTATTAGTTATGCGAAGAAATATTCAAGAAATAAAAGATAATCCAACTGAATTTTATAACTGCTAACACTTAAAGTGAGCTGTTAAGTTTGGACTCTCTTGTTTGATTTGATCCGTTCTTACTTGTCTTCTTATTGTCTGACACATACGTTCAATTATTCTACATTTATTTTGAAAAAACGATAAATAATGTTCAGAAAAAATCAAATCTACTTACATTTTGAGTGTGAAGAATTTCAGTTCTGTTATTTTTGTTTTACATACTGGACACTGTTTGAGTTGACATATACTACAGAAGTATCTTTCCAATACACAGTGCTCGTGAAATATGTGACAACAACCAAGACGAACACATTGATCATCAGTAAAAAATGCGCAACATTCATATGTACATTCTTGCGATTGCTTTTGTTCTTTGTGGTCTGACTCATCTTCTTCTTCTTCTTGTTTCCAACGTTCTTTAAATTCATCATCGAATTCGGGTATTTGTTCTTGTTGTTGCTGTTTGTGATTTAGTGTAAGCCAGCATGTTAACTGTGCAATTTTTTCCATTTGCTAAGTAACGTGACAAAACATATTTCGGGTACGTAAAAGCGAGTAAATATATATAGGTGAAAAATTTCGTAATTATGATGAAATATGACGCAGATTATATAACAAAAGCAGGTAAATTAGAATCATAAATGATATGACTTAAATTTATTTTGGTTTAATGGATTTACCATTATACTAAAATAAATGATATTTTTAATACAATGGTCAATCCATCATAGATACTAATCAGTTTTGTAATTCTGCAGAAGAAATCATGTGTTTTCTAATTTGATACAGTAGAAATTAGGTGCAAGCTCTACACCGGACCAAATTTGATGAAACTAAGGTGACATATGCAGAATTTCAAAGCGAATCGGACAGAGGGTTTCTTTATAATTCTGTTTTGAGTTTTTCATGTGATGCCACGGTCTTTACGATTTCTTATAAGGCATTTTTTCTTTTCCTTTCCGCGCGCACATTTTATCTTGTTTTTCTCTTTTATATAGGCAATAAATACATTCGACCATCGAATAACAGAAAGAACAAAACAGAGCCGTATCAAATAAGGCATATCTACTTCTTCTATCCATCTCGCACATGCTGCGCATTTCTGTTGTGACAAACAACAGAACGAAAAATTCGCTATCCTCTTGCATGTTTATATGTCGGAAAGGAAAAGTAGACTAAATATAAGAGCAAGTAAAAGCATGTAAAAGCAAGTTAGAGCAAGTTAGGTTCTTCAGACGAACTTTCTGAAATGTGCAGCATGTGCGAGATGGATAGAAGAAGTAGACATGCCTCATTTGATACGACTCTAATTTGTTCTAAGTTTACTTTCTTTTATATAAACGCCTGAAAGTTCAAATCAAGCAGAAGCAGTGATGAACTCAAATTTTTATATGAAGATATCATCTACATTATTTTTCATATTTTCCTTTAATAAAGACAATTACTCATACAACTTTTTTCAGAAAAAAATCAGGATTATAATACTAAAGTGTTCTGTGACTTCCCTATCTCATTGTATTTGTTTTGACTTAAGAACCTTAAACGTAAAAAATATCATAGACCGTGGCGATACATGAAAAACTCAAAATACGATTATAAAAAAACCCGCTGTGGGGTTCGCCTTGAAATTATGCATATACCACCTTAGTTTCATCAAGTTTGATCCGATGTGGAGCTTGCATCTAATGTTCTAATGGGATGGATAGTGCGCAGTATGTCCGATAAGACACATTTCAATTGCAATTTACAATAAATAACTGATTTACGATTGTTTCTACTGTTGATTTTGTTAATAAGTATATGAGGAAGACGAATTAAAAAATGTAAAGTGTTTTCTTGAGGAAAAATTAACATATTCTTTTATCTGATCGCTGTGAAAAATGGAGGAATAATAAGTAGTCAAACATATCTGGTAGTTGGCGAACCAAGCATGAAGATAACTGATTGCTGAACGCAGTTACTATAATAGCGAAAAGAATATGAGTTGCCAGTATTAGTATATTATTCAGGATAGGATATAACAGTACATCTGATAGTATAATCTTCAGGCCAGTAAAGCATTCAGTTTGACTATAGTTTAGATAGCAGCTGATTATGTTGTACTACGAATTAGATCAAATGATTGTCGAAACACATATCTCTCGTGCTATTCTCAGATAAATTAAGAACTGTTCATTTTTGGTATTACTTGCGAATATGAATTCTACTACAAGTGAAGTTTAATTTTCTACATTTTGACAATAAAATTGGAATATTTCGCAACAATTAAGGCTATAAACGTGCGTACATTTCAGTTAACTACCCATGTTCATGACCATTAGGATACCATATTTGAATCATCTGGCAATGATTGCAGCATAAGCTGCAATTCGACGTTTTAGTTGAGGATCGTTTAGGACATGTGGGACCGTCGCATTATGGATCGCATAGTCTTGGTGGACAAAATTTAAGAGAGATTTCGCCAGTCGATCGAGTAACTTGCCAAAGACCGGTCACTAGTGAAAAATTGACATATACCTTTTATTTCATATTCGAATTCTACTATCAAAACTGGGGTTATGAAAAATAAAAAAACTTTCTGAGTTATTCTGGCTCACGAAGGACCTTTCTCTAGTGATAAATCGCTTTCCGCCCGAAACCTAGTGAGTGCTAGGTTATCGATGATGCTGAATCCGAATATCAACATGAGACCTGCTGCTGCCGATTTTCCGGAAAATCAGTTTTCAGAAACTCTAAACAATAACCAAAACCTTTCCTAATGAGCCATAATTGTAGCCCGCAAATTTCTAATTAAAATGGGACATCTCCCAGCTTTACACGGCCTTTCTTTGCAAAGTTATAGAATGTACACGAAAACCCTAAATGTTCATTGTCAGGTCAAGGCTACAGAAATAAGAAGAATTAGGGCTTTTCTTGTAAATTCTATAAGTTTGTAGAGAAAGGTCTTGTGAAGCTGGGAGACTTCTCATTTTAATCAGAAATTTATGGCCTACAAGTATGACTCGTTAAGAAAGATTTTGGTTATATTTTAAAGTTTCTGAAAAACTGATTTTCCAGAAAAACGGTGTTTGAGAGGCCTAGCAGCAGGTCTCATGTTAATATTCGGATTCAGCATCATCAATAACCTATAACCCGCTAGGTTTCGGACGGAAAGCGATTTATCACTTGGGAAAGATCGCTCTCAGTTATAGAATTTAGAAAATGTATATCGTCGATTTGATTTGACAAAATCACATAGTTTCTAATTTTTCTGAAATACCCAAGCACGAAAAAAGCAGCTAGCATCGCTCGATGCATCTAGATTCACTAGATACAATGATAGATGCAGCTAGCTGCATAGGAAAGAGAGAAAAGTTGAATCGAGCATCGCTCGATGCAGCTAGAT